ATTACTATTACTATTACTATTACTATTACTATTACTATTACTATTACTATTACTATTACTATTACTATTACTATTACTATTACTATTACTATTACTATTACTATTACTATTACTACTACTGCTACTATTGCTACTACTACTACTACTATTACTGCTACTACTACTACTACTACTACTACTGCTACTACTATTACTACTACTACTACTACTACACATGGAGAAAGTTTTTTTTTGATTGGAAAAAAGTTTGTTTTTGATTGGTGAAAAAGTTTTTTTTTGATTTTCGCTGAAAGTTTTTTTTTGATTGAAAAAAAGTTTTTTTTTGATGGCTTTCCCCTAAACCCCAGGGGCCCCAAACCGCAGAGCCCTAAACCCCGAGGCGCCCTAAACCGTAGGGCCTTAAACCCAAGGGGCCCTAAACCGTAGAGCCCTAAACCCCAGGCGCCCTAAACCGTAGGGCCCTAAACCTGCAGTGGAGATTAGCGAACGGATTGCTGTGCTTGACCGTTTGATCGCATCTGTACTCCTAACTCCCCCCCTATGCTTGTGATCATGTCGGGGCGCCCCTCCCTTGTAAAAATTTAGGGCACCAGGTATTATACAGCCTGTCAATATGCACCTCATAGAATATCTTATAGGATACTTCGTAGACTCCCGTATTAGGATACCCTATCGAATACTTTACAGATAGATGTCAAATATGGAACATCAGTCGGAGCCGAAGATTTGCGAATGTTCAGCTGAGTTGTAGCTTATTGAGTAACGGGTTCCCATGATGGAAACCAGGAACCTACTTGTAAAAGAAGGTTTTTTAAAGTTCAGTATGGATTAGTGTCTTATCCCGTCCAGAGTTTCATAGAAAATACTCAGGTCGTACCATATACAGTTTATGCAGTATATGCTTTGTATATACCTTATGGACTACCCTGTAACTCATAAAACACCGCATAGAAATCTGTCCTATATATACACCCTATATAGAATACCTTTTTATACGTTACAGCTTGGGATACCCCAAAACCCTACACAAGCCTTTTAGAACACCATCTGGAAAACTTTACAGAAGGTCGTATAAAAACCCTATGAATGATACCCCCCTTATACCTTGTATATGCTCTTGAGAATCCCCTTTGGGATATCCGACAGAAACCGTATAGATCAGGATTTACTTAGGGCCTTTGGGTAAATCAGAAGGAACCCAAGCTTTATGCAGCTTATTGAGCAAGGGACATTTATGAAAGAAATGAGGAATAAAGGAGAACAGCCTGTAGAATACCTTACAGAATACCTTTTCTACAAAAAGGTAAATAAACTCATGTAGAATACGATAGTACCTCATAAAATATTCTATATTCCCTATACACCTTGTACACCCAAGATCTGAGAGTTCCCCAGTTGAATGTGGTTTATTTGGCAACGGATTCATATCAAGGAATTGCGGAATAGAGGATCTAGAAATTCCTTGAAAAATCGATGCTTATTTGGCAAAGGATACATACAGAGAACAAAACTCTTCTGAAGCACATGCTGCACATATCCTACAGAATGCAACTTCTAAACTACCTTATAGCATGTTTTTATACAATTCCACCGATTTGCCCTACATACACATTATAGAATACCATGTGTAATACACTGTAGGATATTTTGAAGAAGAACACCTTTATTTGCTACATCCTGTGTACGTTATGTATGCCATATAGAATACATATACGGTACCATTTAGGATACCCTTTAGAATCCTTTATAGAAAACCTTAAAAGGTACCTTATAGGTACGGACTTTAAATATGGAAAGCCAGGCGGAGCCCAAGATCTGAGAATTTCCAGTTGAATTGCAGCTTTTGGGCAATGGATTCCTATGAAGAAATCAGGAACCAAGAAGACCACCCCAACTACCTTATAAAATACCCTCTCTATGCACCTAAATGAATTTCAAATAAAATACACTATAGAATACCTTCCTACGTATAGGCCGCAGAATGCCTTTTGTACAATACCTTATGGTGCACCCTCTAGAACACCGTATAGAATGACCTATAGAATAACATCCTTACGGAAGACCGCCTATGGAGTATATCATCAGAATACCTCAAATATCCTCAAATATACCTCGTAGAATATCCTCTAGAATACCTTTTAAGATACTATTTAGAATAACTTTTAGTATGCCCTATAGATCACGGTTCAAGAAAGGAACATCAGAAATAGCCTAGCATACAGAGGACAGTAGAGAATACTTCGTGGTATTGTCTTAGTTCGAACGGTGTAATGTCGTCGTAGACAGGGAAGACTACGCAGTATATAACAGTTTTGTTCGGAGTGGAGTCGTGACGTCGTCTAGACAGTACAAGAAGAGGCTTCGAGGTAGGTCCTGGAGGGGGGGGTAGCATATATATATATATAGATGTGTATGTATATATGTATGCACGTAGATACATAGATCGATCAACATATTTTGCATGATTTCGGTATGTATCTACAAGCACAGGCAAATGTATGTAGGTATGCACGCATGCATTGTTTGTCTGTCTGTATGTGCATGTATGAGGAAGCCTGACTGGCTCTCCTGGACGCAAGCCGACGCAGAAGTCAATCGTGCAATTCTGGACTACTGTCAGTCCATGAAGCAGCAGCTCAAGGACTCATTCTGTATGGGCTCGGGTGAAACCGTTGTTTAGGGTTTGAGCGTTCAAGTGTAGCCGACTTAGTCAGGGGTGGTGGTGGGTAAGAACTGACCGAGCTTTCTGCAGGACACGATGGATTCAGACACTGCAGAGGATTTCCGACACTCCAAGGATCCTGTCGATCGCGTGCTGTGGCACATGCGGTCGGAGGAATCCCGCACCTTCAAGAATTGCATCTCCGCGGCGAAGAAGATAAAGATGTAGCAGCCCCCGAACGAGCCTAGACCAAGTGTAGTGCAGCCCAAACCCACTGCAACAAGGCCCGATAGGCAGCTTAATCGTGCCAGTGATTGCAAATATTCAGTTTTTTCAACCTGCACGCTTGCAAAAGCTTTGATGGCCCGACAAGGGGGCATCACATGCATGCCGTTTCACAGGCAGAGGACCCCTCTCGCATGCATGGACCAACAGCGCCGGCTTGCCGCGGCAGAAGTGACTGTCCTAGGCTTTGCCCAGCCCTAAGCGTGGATCACGTAAAATCTGGTCAGAATGATGAAACGTAGACGAATATTTACAGCCTAAACCCTGAGTTGCTCAGGCTGCATGCCGCTACTCAAACACCTCCCGTTTCGTCCAAGCAGTGAGAGCCAAAACCCCATCAGCTCGGAATTCGGAACATCAGGCACCGAGTTTACCAGGGATCCCGAACTGACATATGTGGGACCCGACCATGAAGGTTCATGGTCTCGATCCGAAGCCCTGGAGAAGCGTCACCTGCAGCTGTGTTTGGTTTCCAGCAACATCCAAGTGGCCATGGACGTTCTCGGTCTGAGAGGCACGCCCGAACGCAGCAAGCCGGAAAGTGCCCCCCGAATCTCGAGGCCTAGGCTTGCATCTAACCTTCAAAATGCCAGTGACAGGCCCCACAGTGGCCGGGACCGCACAGCCCACAAGCTTGCGGCGAGGCTCGAGTGGGTCTTCGTGTGGTTCGGAGCTCGAAGGCTCTAAGGAAGTCTCCGGGTGCTCCTCCCCGGTCTTCTTCTGCAGCTGTCAAAGAACCTTCATCCTGGTGCATCCAGACAGAGTTCGGTTCCTTTGTGCGTTTGAGCGGCATGCTTAACTTGTCGTTCCTCGGAGAGTCTTTGATTAGGCAGGAACCTTCTAAATCTGATGGTGGTGAATAACGGATGCGTAACTGCATTGCATGGTGTTTGAAGGTGCAGCACCGACTGTCCAGCCACCGGCGGCTCTTGCACGTGGTAGTGGCATCTCTGGGACGCAGGCAGAAGGAGCACTGCAGCTCGGAGAGAGACCGGGGCCAAAATGCCGCCAGGCAGCCCTGGGCGTTCTGGGCTGCGCCCTCTTTGCCAGGCGCGAGCGCGAGGCCACGATCCACGGCACTGCGGCACTGCGGCACTTGCAGATCTCTTCCAAGGGTCGGCCTCGCAGGCGCTGAGCCGCCGTCGAGGCCACATCGGCCGTTTCGCCGCCGGCGCCGAGGTGGAAGCCGAGTAAGTCCATAAGAAGCGAGTGCAAAAATGCAGTGTTTTTTGCAGTGTTGCAGCAGAATTATCAATGGCTTGTTGCTTGCAATTTTAGGATCGCCTCTCTGTGAAAGGTCGAGGAAGCTCCCAAGCGGCTGAGAAGGAGGCGCAGGGTTCCCAAGTCAAAGCCACAGACGGAGATCACCTCGGACATGCGGCTCGGCTCTGGGCGGTCAAGTGCTTGAAACAGAGCGACGGATCGGAAAAGTTTGGTGACTCCGGACACCTTCCGAGGCTGACCCTGAACACTTGCAACTGCGATCTGATTCTGGACACCGTGCCCTGGTTGCACATTGCTGAAGCTGGTGATGGCATTTCCATACTGTGATGAGAGCACAGGTTGCACGGGGTGGCAGCGGGGTCTTTAGGGGCTGGGCCCCGGTCCGATACCCAATGAAGGTCGTCGAGTTCGAGGACCTCCTTGCGCCGAATGAGGCACGGGCGCTGCTCGACGCGGCCCGAGTCACTGCCGAGACGCACCCTGACTGCACTGGCAGCGGTTTTTTAGACTCCGATAGCTCCAATTTGTCTCTCATCTCAGGAATGGATGGGGAGCAGCATCGTGGTCGCAGTGAGCTTGCCTGGCCATGCAGCCGGGCAATGCTTCTCTTTCTTCGTACTGTCTAGCCGAGGCAACCCACGAGAAGTACGGTACGAAAGACCGGGCCAAGAATCAAATCATTCCAGTTCTTGCCATTGTCAGCTCCAGAATTGTTCAAGTTTGCGGTGCGCGCGTGTTTGGTGCGAAGCCTTCAAGTAGCAGCATGACCATGATGAGCACAGCAGTGAACAAGACAGTATACACCGTCTCATACCTAAGCCGGGACTGCCCCACCTCAACTCAATCAAGGGTCCCAGTCCAGTGACGTATGCAACAGACCACAAGCATCAACTTGCATCACTGTCGTTGCTTCGGCCATGGATGCATCCTGGGCAGAAGCTTTTGCGGGCCAGCTAAAAGTAGCCGTAGCAAAGCGCTGGTTGATTTATACAACCAAATCTTTGATCATCATCCGTGACCATCCAGACACTTGGCCGTCATCAGAAGTACCGAAACTTTCCCCCGCCAAGGCCCCTTGCACCTGCAGCGCGGTTGTCCGAAAAACATCCCAGGACTATGCAGGCCAAAGATCGTCCGAGATCCAGCTGCTTGGATCACGAACTGAACGGATCTTGGGCAGCGGTGCGCCACGGTTCATGGTGCGCACGGTGTTGTCGTGCCAGTCTGGCTGGGGCCTGGTGCACAGGCCCTTGGTTCCTAGTCGCCTGCTGTCCTAAGTCCAAAGTCGGGCTAAAGCTATGGCTGTTCAACGCACGATGTGCTCTTTTGAGCATTGGCTTGTTTCTGTACCATGCCACCATCCTGCAGTCGCTCTGCCGTGGGGTATCTGATCTCTATGCGCGAGCTTGAGGTTTTGGTGTTCTTCTATCATTTCATTATGGTTTGTGTTGCTGTCGCGATTGCGGCTTCAAAGAATGTCAGAGTCCGTCTTGGTCTGGCCGTTTGTTTGCTTTCAATTTGCATGTGGCTATTCTCGTCCTTGTTTCGACTTGGGGTAGTGAAAAGGACAGAGAACTGTGTTGGGTTCCATTTTATGTTCTCTCGAAAAAATTGAGAGTTACGGGGGTGGTTTAACCCGAAACGGGCGTTTCCAGTATGACGTCCTTGCTGCGGAACCTGCACCACCTCGTCTCGATGCGCAAGCACTTTCACGGACAGCATCTTGAGACTTGAGACTGGCTTGCATGGCTGAGAGGGTGACGCCCAGATTGACCAGACGTATCCACGTTAACATCATGACTATTATAATCCCCCCCGAGGTTTCTTGGAATTGCCTGCCGGACTGGAGCAGCAAGGGAAGGGAAGGACTCACCGCTTTTTCTGTCCGTGTCGCGCTTCTGACGAACCAAGATCTGCAAGGCAGCTGTAAACATGTCATCTCCGGTTCTATCCCAACAGGATGGACTTGTGAAGGAAAATATGTTAATGCATGCGTAGGTAAGTGTGAGATTACAGTATAGACATGAGTCTTGTCTATCTTCCAGTCATCGTGCTGAAACGAGTTCCATCAGTAAAACGATAAGCAAACTGTTTTGGAGGACACGCCTGACGGCTTCCAGCAGAAGCTTCGAAGTTTGCCACTCACTTGCATTAAAGGCACGGCGAGCTTCGCTACGCTTTGGCGCTCCGTTACAGGTCCGCTGGCAGCAGGCCGCTGGCGTGCGAGGCGGTTCTCGGGATCCTCACCTTCAACCAGGACGCGCATGCGTCGCTCTGCCGCCCTGCTATCGCAGTATACTGCTATGCATCCCCGTCGTCGCGATCGTTACATCGCTTCCCGCAAGAGGATCTTTTCCTCCTCGTCGTGACGGACGCCGTCACCGTCGCAACTCGGAGCTTGAAACAAAAGGGAGCGCTGAGTGGAGCGCTCGGCGCTCGTCGTCTTGAGCCCTGTAGGTCGATGGCAAGGAGGCGATTCAGAGAGTTCGGAAGTGCGAAGCTCTTCCGGCCGGCGAGAACACCAGCAGCTCGGCCCGATATAACAAGGCGCTTACAGTATTGTTTGGGCATCGCATGGTGAGCCTGGCGATGCGAGCGGCTTTCTCGCGAAGCGAGGTGAAGGTGCCGAGGCAGCCGCGACGGCCGCTGAGATCAGCAAGAAGAGTGAGACTGGCAACAGTGGCTTAAGTATCTGAACTTCTTCTACGACAGGAGATGAGAGTGATGTGTGCAGCCGTCATGGCCTGCAACAAAGATCAGGTAATGTTGAGACCCACCTGTCGGTCTTGTGCAGATGCAAGACGTGCAACATATGGATGAATCTGTAGATTGTGTTGTTCTTTGGGTCTCCAGGAGAGTGCGCCACTTTGCCAGTAAAGACCGGAGAATCAGCGCCAGAGAATGACCCAGATTTCTGTTCCTTTGTCGGAGCCCAAGGTTACGCAGCTGCTGGAGGAGCACTTCTACTTCTCACACAGTATTGATCTCACTCGCAGGCTCCAGCAACGAATGGATCCTAGACATAAGGCAGCGGGTTCTGCTACAAGAGTGGGAAGATCTTTGGCACTTTGCTGGCTTGCGTCACCAAGGAGAGAGAAACGAGCCCTTCACTGCTCCATGGCACGGACAGGAGCGTGATAGCATCCCTATTGAATACAGCCGCCATTTGCGATTGTAACGCGAAGCAAAGCTTGGCCTGTCGCCAGCCGCGAGCCCCCTCCGTGAAATTTCGAGATCTGGTCCAAATGCAAGATAGGTTGCACGCAGATCCTCGATATGCCGGGAACCTACTGTTGGCTCATGCTGACTGCACCGGTGGCCGCGTCCCCTGCTAGGTTTGGAACCTGTCTCTCTGCGAGCCGTTGCTGGGTCAGGGAGCTGCTCGTGCAAAACAGAACAAGTTCGCACTTGCAGTGGCTCCCAAGGGCTACCAGAGGATGGAAACATGCACCCGGCAGCGCGCGCTCGTGCGCGCATGACTGAGGTTACAGAGCGGTGGTTCACACCTGTCACTTGGCCCAAGTAGTCTCGTGGAGACAGAAAACAGTCCTGGTCACTGAAGAAGTCTCAGGTCATGCAAGGACACCTGGGCGTAGCCGTCGTGCTCTTGCAGGGTTACGACTACCAGCCGTACTTTTTGCAGGATTCGTCCAGCAGCAGGAGCTCGAGCTCAAGACGCTTCAGAAACCGCAGGCTCTACGGTTGCTCTTGGTCGCTCGCAGGCCAGTCGCCTCTCTGGTGCATCGCTTCTTAGATGCCAAACCGGTGTGCAAGGAGCCGCTGGCATGCGGGGACCCGCTACAATGCTCGTGGCCTGGATGACGACTCCGAGGCGCTTTGAACGAAGCCCCTTCCCTCGGGGCTGCGGGCTGCGCCCTCTCCTGTCTTGGAAGGCTGCCAACTGGGTTGAGAGCGAGATGTTGGTGAGGGGTCCAGGAGGCGCAGAGCACTGGCTTGCTCTGACGCAGGCGCCAGAGCACCCATCCGAGACAGACTTTGAAGGAACTACAAACACTTTTGAACGCTGCCTTTGCCTCTTCGCTCCCTCAAGTAGCCAAGACGAAGGGTACCCTTGCCAGGGCTCTTCTCTCACCCAAGCCTCCTTAGTGCTGGGTCGCAGGTGCATAGCCTTGAGGAGATGCACAGCAAGCACAACAAGAGCCGGACAACAAGAAAGCGAGCTGACAGACTAACAGCAAAAGAACACCAGCAGTCAGTGTGAAGCAGGAAGACGGACGGCTACGATGAGAAGCGTTGATTGATCACTTGCAGGTTCGAGGCAGTGCTCCGGTTCACTGGGAGCAGAAGCCCAGCTCAGGTGTCACCGTGACGCGAGGCCCGGCCCCTTTTGCATAGCAGGATGCCTTCACGCGAGATTCGGGGCTACAGCCTGACATGTAATTCGCGGCTGTGATACGCGACTTGCCCCTGGAGATAACGATCGACAAGACGAACGGAACACATCAAACTTGCAAGAGCGGTGACTGGAATCTGGAAACATGCAAAACAGGATCTCAACTCTGGGAGCAGTTGCGGAACACACCAGGTTGGTACACCGGTGAAGCATTGGGTTAGTTGGCGCACGACGTGCGTTGCATGGTTGTCATTGAATCATACTTTCGCGCACACACACACACACAGCGGCTTGGTGCGCTTCTGCATCAATCTGCACGAGAACGAGGTCGCTGTGGATACTCGGAGAGTTTGATGAACTGGATGCCCGATTCAATCAAACAGCCCAGCTCGGGTCCATTTGCCAGCAGTGAGTCTTGCATTGACAGGTGCGGAGCTCGTGGCTTTGAGCTTCAAGAAGCACCAGGCCTTCCAACGAAGCATCGGGATCGTGGTTTTGACTTGAGCCTGCAGAGCTTCGTCTCCATGCCAGCACGACACCCTTCCAGAGTTGCTCAGCTGCCTTTTGCGAGGCTTGGATACGAGAAGAGTATGGCGAAGTGTTTCTCGTGCCCTGTCGGAGAACAGCAAACGGAGACTCGCTGAACAGTACGCCGGTAAAGGGGTGTTGCATCAGGCATCATGTTTGTGCTGCAGAACTCTTTTCCAAACCGAGCCAGAAGCCACACGCAGCTTCCCCTACAGCTCCGAAACAGCTTGGCTTTGTGGCTCAACAGCCCCTCTTCGGTTGTTGTCTTGTGTCCTGTTGGCTTGGGAGACTATATGAAGCAGCCTACCTTGAGCCAAGTCCCTCGCAGCTTGTCGTAAAATCGGATTGCTGCGCAAGATCCAACTTCAACAGAATGCTCATGGCGCCGGCAATCCCAAAGCAACATCGTTTTCCTTTTTTTTTTGCGACACTCTGGATCTGAGCCTCCCGGGCATCGATGCAAGGTTCAAGAACGGATCCTGAGAAATTTAGTTAGCGCCTGCAGCAGGTGAATATGATGGGATGTTACAGAAATTAGTGAAGTCGGGTTTAAAGTGGGCACGGGGCTTCTGATTGGGAAGCAAGGTATTGGTCGCGAAAAACTTATTCGCTTGACACGAGAAAAACATCTGATGAAAGAAAGAATCAAAACAAACGGAACCATAAAAGCCAGATTGATTAGGCAACCCAAAAACGTGGAAATTTCTGCAGCGACTGGCCGTCGTAACGGGGATCTCATTGGCTTTCAATAACTTAAGGAAACAGGACCGGAAGCGCGAGGCCAGTATGCCAGCAGACATCTCGGCAGACAGGCAGCCCGGCTGGAATCCGTACCGCGACACGAAATCGAGTGCAAGTTGAACCCATGTGACCTTATTACCACGATCTGTATCATGGAAGGACCAAATAGGTAATCGGAGGAAACTTTGCAAATTACTGGCAGCATTCCTGGATAAAGGGCGCTTCCCTGTGACACTGCCTTGTACATGGTCGCACTCGAAAGATTGAAACACAATTTGGCCTGGGGCCCGGAAGGACCGGGCAAAGGCAGAGTACAGCTTTTGTAGATTTTGGGTTACTGTAGCGGGGATATGCACACGCGTGAGACAAAGGGAAACAAAGCAGTCTTCAACTTCACCTACTCTCACACTACACCCGCGACAATAACCCAAGCAAACCTTGGGGGCTTTGGTTCTCAGGCGAAAGACCGGTTTGCATAAACACTGCGTCTTGGACGACAACGTAAGACCCCTAGGGGAACCATCGCCAGGTTCAAACCCATCTAAAGGAGCAAGAAAAGACGTCTGAGTCCTAGAAACCATAGTACGAACAAGGTGCGTTTGGATATTCACCGCTCTTTCGATGTCAGCCTTAATGGTTTTCCCTCCGCGACACACCTCTGCTCGCGCACATTACCTTATCAATTGCCGCCGCGGTGCCCTTTCGAATGCGAGCACATCCACCTCCTGGTGGAGTGCGATGAGAGCGGCATCAAGAACATTCTGCACAGGTTGAGGGCATCATGCGCACATCTGGAACGTCACGAAGCCTCAAATTACCATCCCTCGGCCAGCTGCTGGCAAAACGTGTCCAGCAAAGCATGTACTGCAGAAAGATGCAGGGCCCTCTGAGTGCAAAGGTGTTCGACAGCTGACCCAAGGTTCTGCTCGCATTTAGACTGGCCTGGGGGCCTACTTGCCCATGAGGTGAGCTTGCTGTCACAAGCCGCCTCTAAGCGTGACACAGAAGGCCTGGTGAGAATCCTGGAGTTACGGCTTCTTCCGAATGTGCGTGTGCCAGGTCTGCTGTCTGAGGCACTTGCACAGCACTCCAGGCCCCCGCGACATGTCCGTGTCTATGCGACACCTCATGCCGACCCCTGCATGACATCAAGCCGAGATGCCATGTTCGTGAATGCGATGGTTCGATCAGCTCTCAGCGACCAGCCCAGCTAGTCATGCTCATTGTTATTGGTGTCTAGGTGCATAAACGTTACAGCAGAAAGAGGGCCCGAACTCAGTATCCCCTCAAAAGGAGGGAAGCCAGCGTAGATCGTGCCAACATCTTAAAGGCCTCAGTTCGCGATTGCACCCCACATCAGCAAAAACCGTTTCGGGTGGAACCCCTCGTACGGCGGCACAGGATTTTGCTTGATGTTTGTGTAAGACTCATGTTCTGATTCGCGACGATTGGCGCCATCTGGCCGCAACCTGAGACTGAGAATCTGCACTCATGAGCGGAGATTGAGCCATGAGCTTGCTCCAGATTGAGGCCATGGAAGATAACGAAGAGGCAGATGTCAGCCCCCAGAAGGGGAAGACGGAGCCGTCAAATGGACTCAATTTGAGCCTTCTCATGCGCATGTGCGGACACTCTGCCGCACAAGAAGCCGGAGCAACCCTTGCTGCTAGGACTCGCAGACTCACCGCTCTCTGAGGTACCTGGAATGACATTTCCTTTGCACTCATAATCCTGTTCTGTATCGTCGGTCTGGGCTACTCCGACATAGCTCCCGCATGGCGGTTCATGGACGGCAGAGACGTAGAGGCCTCAGTTCGGTTTCAAGCGAAAGAGACGGCTGCAGATGCAAAGTTCCGGTCGGACGCAGTCTCAAGCCGTCCCAAGGAAGGACTATCGCAACTGGCCTGGGCCTATCTGCTGGCAGCACCTCAGACAGCAACTTCCTAATTCACCTCACTTTTTCGTGTCGTTGAGAGGTCCGAGAGCAGTGTTCAGGGCTTTGGGCAGCTGGACGCGCTATTCGCAACAAATGAAGCAAGGACGTCGCACTAGTGTGGTTCACACTTGAAGGTGCAGGCGCACTGTAGGCTCACCAGGCCAGCTTCGAAGTAATCGACTTGGAATCCTGAACTCCGCGATCTATCCCCCAAAGACTGCCTTCCGAAGCTATGTCGGGCCACTGAAAGACCGCGAAGACTGTCAGAGATCTCTCAGAACTGCAGATCATCCAAAATCTTCTGACATGGGCCGCAGTTGCGGATGCACTCCCCAAGGCTGTTATGACCATGACGGCATTCGTCTTCGAGCTGACGACGGTGCTGGTTGAGTATAGCCGCTTGGCAGCTTCAGTGTTGGCATCAAGCCGTCTTGCCGAGTTGCCATCTCCTCTGCTGTAGCTGCTCCCACGAGCTGGGCAAGCATGGCCTTGGTTTTGATGCGTCCGAGTACGTTCATCAGCTACAGCTCAGTGAGAACTCCTTGACAGGTCCTGCGGTCCTGAAGAGTTTGGGGCCGGGCTCCAGCGGAATCCACTGCCAAGATAACAAAGTGATGATGATGGTATCTTGTCGAAAAGGATGAAGCCACATGCGTGGCATTCGTGGTAGCAGTCGCCGCCGTGGCCGTAGTGGCATTAGCAGTGCGGTAGTAAAATTAGTAGTGCTAGACAATGCCAGCTGTAGCTAACCGTATGTATAGTAGTAGTAGTAGTAGTAGTAGTAGTAGTAGTAGTAGTAGTAGTAGTAGTAGAAGTAGTAGTAGAAGTAGTAGTAGTAGTAGTAGTAGCAGCAGTAGTAGTAGCAGTAGCAGTAGCAGCAGCAGCAGCAGTACTACTTCTACCACTACCACCACTACGACTACTACGACGACTTACTACTACTACTACTACTACTACTACTACTACTACTACTACTACTACTACTACTACTACGACTTAGTACTAGTTCTACTTCTTCTACTGCTACTACTTGTGCTGCAACGACTACCATTAGCACCAACACACTACCTGTGCCATGACGACGACGGTGCTTGTTCGTGCTACTGGCTGCTAGTGCTTCGAAAGCGTGGGGTCACCACTGTGCCGGGACAATCGAAACAGCAAGCGCTCGTAGCTGACGGTGCCTACCTCCATGAGGATAGCTTTACAGCAGTTGACACTGGGTTCAATCATTCGAGTGCACCTCATACATTGACGTCGTTGATCTATCTCTGCTCTGCGGTCTGAAGCACGTTCTGACCTCAGGTATACGCCATGCTGTCACTCTCCTACTTCAAGATGGCGCTGAAGCCGAGCGAGCGCACCAGAAGCTCTAGTTGGTGGTTCCGGTCGTTCTGTGCCTGTCCACAAGCACAGGTGGGTACACACAGATCCCTTAGCTGCGGGTGGACCGCGTCCAGTCTTTACCCTTCGCTATGTCGAGAAACTTGGCGCAAGAAGGGCTCAAGCTTCCCGAAAGAGCGCCTCACCTGGCTAGCCGGCTACCTCGTCTCAGGTGGGGAGTTTGCATGTCACTTCTTCTGGCTCTCTCCTGCGATCCGGCTTCAGATGGAGGCCGGGAGTAGGAAACTGAGACTGTCAGAGCCATCCGGCGCATGTTTCTTCAGCGGGCTACTGGGGCGGGTACGTAACGGGCAGTTTACAAGATCTGCTTTGACCAAGCGTCCATCCCTGTGATGAACTGTTCACGACGTCAGCGCGAAGGCAGTGCCGGTGCTTGGCCAGTGACCATGCAGCCATACTGAGAAGAAAGAACAGGAAAGAACTATTTAGTTTTGCTTCCCACTGTTTTTTCACTGCTCGCCGCTAAGCAGCAGTAAAGCCACAGCCAGTAGCTCACCTTGTCTCCAGAAAGGTCGATGATGCGAAAACGGCATGTTTTCTCATTGGTGTTCATCAGATCCCGGGCTACTGCTGCAACCACGGAAGAATGTTCCGGCAGTTTCAATCGAGACAACAGCTCGAATGCAAGAGAAGGTGACGACGACATGGTCATCGAGCCCCCGGCAGCCCGAGAGCGCAGCGTTTTTGTGCAGCAGGCTGGACACATCATCTTGGGCTGCAGATCATGACCATGACTATATTTTTGCAGGTTTGTCATGTGCCCATATGCTGCTTGGCAGGTGCACATGATAGCAAACATTCCGGTCGTGGTTGGCAACCGAATTTCCAGCATGCCGCTCGCACCTTCTGCGCGATGTGCCCTGGCCGCTTCTCACGATTCCGTCGAATGCCAAGAACAGTTGACTCCTTTGCTTGCAAGCTCTTGAGGTACCTTTATATATATTTGGTCCTCCTGGCTGGCTTTGGTAGTGGAAGATGAGGCCTGCACGGCGCCAGTGTCAACTCTAGGCAGGTCCAGGGAGAAAGTACAGTTTCATGCCTGCTTGCACCCTGAGTTTACGCGCTGGTTCTTGCTCAGCGTGGCTTGGTTGCGACAGACCTGGCCAAAAGATGAAGTAGTCGCGAGCGAAGAAAAGCAGTAAGGCATCGTTCGCTGCTTATGCCGTGGCTGCTCTCGAACAGATTCCCGGCTGAAGACCTGGGTGGCACGCAAGCTTCTGTCAAGTTGTGAAGCCCTGGGCACTTGGTTTTAGATTCAACCACTTTCTTGCTCAAATTTTCATTTAGGCTGGTGCAATGCTATATCTACTGGGATCGGGATGGCGGCGACGAGCCTTGGCGTCTGCTCCCGGGGCGAGGGAAGGGCTGCGGGCATTTTTTGCGTTGTTGGATGCTTCGAGGAATGGGGCGCTCTCGTGCTCTTCCAGGCGAGGCTCTTGCTTCAGCTGCAGCTTTCTTGGAACTGCCTTTCTGCGAAGTTTTGCAGATATTTCTGGCGGGGTTTTATGGCGTCATCTACCTCGGTGCAGAACTGAACCTCTACTCGTGGCAGACAGCGCCATGGCAAAAGCTGATGGGACCTTGAGCAATCCTATGCTTTTTCCCTTCCAAGGAGCAGCTTGCCTACACCTTCTCAGACGTGGGCGCCAAGTTCTTGCATTCTAGCTTCCTCATGAGCTTGCATCGGCAGCGGAACCTTCTGCGGCTGAGCCAACTCAGACGCTTCTGCTGCGACTCAGGGACTTCGGGTCATAGTCCTCATGTCTCTTGCCATCTCTACACACATCCAACCGCAGCCATTCCGTCCAGGAAGGGCAGCCTACACTGCGGCTGCAGACCTTCAGCGGACGATTCGGCAAGCGAGCGCATCTTGACAAGAGCTTCAGAGAGGAAGGAGGAAGGAGGAAGCGGAAGTTCTCAAAGCTAAGGTGCCGATCTTCACGGTGAATATGGACCAGAAGGTCCAGGCCGGATCCAGATGCACTCGGGCTCGGGGAGGAGAGGTCGGGTCCCACGTGTATCCAGGACTGGAACCTGAAGATCGAGGAGGTCACAGGCCTGCTCCGATGTGAAGTTGGAAAGCCCTCGCCTCTCACTTTTGTTGCCTCTCAGGCATTCTCCGGACAGAAGCCGTGGGCCACGCGCTCTCGGCGGCCTGCCTCAGCGTGAAGAGAGAGAACGCGACGGAAGGCCTCCGCTCCGCGTTTCCGCCTTTCTGAGGACTTGGCCTCGGGAGACGAGTTGGACTCCTGGTGGTCAGCTGCCGGCCTTTGCCTGAGCTCTGTCTCCTCCCAGACGGGGGAGTCTCTGAGCTCCGCTGCTGCCGCTGCTTTGCAGCTCCGCCATCTGCTGAGGTGAGCTGCTTCAGGATGCCATGGAGGAACGGGGGCCAAACATCACCGAGAGCCGCGGCCGAAATGGCAAAGCAATGCAAGCCAGTGCGTGCCCGCTCCCACTCTCTTTTCTCGGTGTTCTCTTCATCTCTTCTTCTTCTCCTCACCTCGCCCTGCCTCACGTCCTAGATGTCTAAGATGACTAAGGATGACATTCAATGCGAGCGACCATCTTACCTATCCCGCGGGAACCGTCATGGCAGTGTCTGCAACAGTCCTACGTGGTGGCTCCGGTGAAGTTAAGGGTGCGGTGTGCAGCTTGGCCGCCTCTGCCACTGGACCAGCGTCGCTGCGACTGGAGCAGTCGTGAGGGAAGATGCGAACCTGTTTCTTGCCCAAGGCATCGGGCAAGATATTTCTGCCATCACTGCAGACTCTGGGCTTTGACATTCTAATTTCTTAGAGTGCCTTCTGGCGTTCCTGGAACTCAACCTGAGGAGAAGAACAGAGCACAATCCGTCGCAGATGGTCTGACGCGCCACCTGGCATGCTTACTCGGAGCTGCATTCTCTTTGATGGGGGCCATCAGCCATAATAGAAGTCTTTCCGTTCCAGAGAAGCCTGACCGGGACCGGAATCTAGATCCCCGCGGCGGGAGGCGCAGGTGCTCCAGTGAGCAGTTTTGGACGGAAGCTTCTGCTGTTAAGGCTTGATCGATTCGGTGACTTGGCTGATCTACGCCTCGAAGCCTCCAGGTTTCTCTGCCCATGTCTTTGGAAGGCGAACACCCCCATCTTTCAAGTGGACCTCTCGGACAACATCGTGGTCTGGAACAACTGGCTCGTGAGAACCACCGGCTTGGACAGGCCATCGGTCCTGGGAAAGCACATCTCCACGGTGCTGAGCCCTGGCTCCAAGAAGAAGTTCCAGGACAGTGCCCATCTCTTCCATACCTTAACCCTGAATACCCTATCTTTTTAGGGTTCCTTACCATGCTTTCTTTACATAAGTCCTGAAAAACGTAGGTTCTTCGGGGTTATATAAGGTAGGCCCCATAGGAGGTTAACCTATGCATCTCGGTGCCAATGGGTACCTTTCACGAGCGTAAGCCGCAAAGACATTGATCACGTCCAAATGACTCGCATCCCAAATCCCAAAACGACAAATGATATTGCCCGGCGTTGATGACGAGGAGCCAGAGAGCAGCGCGGTTTCCTTAGTACTATCTGGGATCCCTGGAACTCTGAGACTGACGAACGTGAGAGCAAGACCTAACTAATTGTCCTCTTCTTGTCCCCAACCCCACTCTTGGCAATCAGTTCAGTTGTGCGAGCCGACCCCGTGATAGTTGCGACATTCGCTCACATGATTTTTAGTTTTGGTTCCCCGTGCTGTGAGATATGGCCGGAATAGATACACTACACCAGTAAAGAAGGGGTTTGGATGAAGCATTTCGTTCTTGCAATCCTCCTGCTAGAGGAATACGTCCACATGAACCCGATCTTCGGCTGCAAGTATAGTTCCTCCAGCTGCATATCTTAACATGTAGCGCCAAAACGGCTAAAACTAAAGCTCCTTGTGCCATAATCCCCGAGCACGGCATCTTCAAAACCTATTGTTGTGCACCATGCGCACGATCACGAACACCGAAGACCCGAATTTGCTGCCTAAGTCAGAAGCGAACCGCGAGAGGATGCTTGCAAGAAAGTTCTGGGCTCCTGCGACGCGGATCTCTTTGAGATCAACTTGGTGAACACAGAAGACCAGACGCTCGGTCAAGCTTGGAGAAGTTCTCCATCTTCCGTTTGTCCTGTGCTCTTCATCTTCTGTAAGAAGTCGTTGCGGTATGAAAAGTCTATCTCACGGCAAGCGCGAAACGCAGATCTGAGGAAGAGAACTTTGCTCCTTACAGCCACCCCATGTGTGTCCCTGTCGGGCCAGATCAACGGCGCCATCTGCATCGGTCAAGACATCACAAGACTCAAGGACCTGGATGAGCGGAAAGCATCGATGATGGCCATGGTTTCCCATGAGCTCAAGAGCCCTCTGCATGGAATCATCGGCCTCTGCAGTTCCCTTCTGGATGGCAATGCCGCCCCGGAAGAAGGGCAGGTTCCGAGGTCTTTAGAAATGGTCTACAACTGCGCGACCCGCTTGTTGGACATGGTGGCCAACATCATGGACACGTCCCGGGGCTGGAGACAGAGTCAAGATAAACCGATAAACCCCTTACTATACCGCCTGTGGTGCAGTCTACAATACTAAGTTCCTGAAAGAGACAAGTCGCTAATTACAGTTGTGCCAGGGTCGAGTTGCTCAGGTCGGTGCTTGTGAACAACAAGAAGATGCGAATGTCGAGGGATCCGGTACAGGTCAAGGACATCATTGACGAAGTCATCACTCTGTGCCGCAAAGCTTGCAACGGCAAAGACAGAGGACTATTGCTCAGACCAGGCACACATGTGTCGTTGTTTCCAGGTAGTACCCGGTCACTCCTCTGCATGATATTGCTTCCAGGTGTTCAACTCATCAACAACATCCAAGACCCCCTGCCAATGATCGAAGCCGATGCTTACCGCTGCACGCAGCTCTTGTACAACTTGATCACAAACGCGATCAAGCCCCCCGGCGGACTTTTGAAAACGGACCACCATGGGATACGACAGGGGGGGGTCTAAATGAGACGTGACGACACGTGACGACAGGTTCACTCACGAGGGCTCTGTGGTGGTCTCAGCTGGCTACGACGACGCGGAGCAGCGCGTCTTCGTCGAAATCGAAGACACAGGCCGGGCCGGGGCATTTCTCCTGAGGCCCCTGCGCTTCGTGTTTTTTGGGAAAGGGTGCAGAGAAAGAGGCTCCCGAGCACTCGGAAGCCAAATTGCAGAGCAGGAGAGAGCCCAAGAAGAGCTCGCGGTCACATCGTGCGTGTTTTTTGACCCCTGGCCAAGGCAAGCTAGTGACTGAGCTCCGCGTCCTTGTGAGTCGAAGCATTTCGGTCTCGTCGGAGGTGCAGTGTTAGGTGTAGATCGCGACTTGATCTTGCGAGCCTCGTTTGGTGGTCGGGGCGGTTTTGGCCGATGCAAAAACCAGGTGAACCACAAAGGCCATGAAAGTGGTAAGTTCTGAAGGCTTCCGCGGCTTCCGGCTTCTGCATGCAGACTTCATGATGGCGCACGAACCACGCAGGAAAGGAGAGAACCGAGAAGGTGGTGGTGCACGTCATAGCACAGCCAAATACACTACCAACTCCTTTCCAGTGTCATCCATCCCCGCCCTCAACAAGATACACGTACTGCCATTTATCTAACTGACAAACCTCATGACGCAGTGGAAGTTTCTGTTGTTGCATGAGCCGCGCTGCCACTGCCTTGAGGCCCCTCCACTCTCGTCTTTGGCCTCCTGCTCCCAGAAACCCCCAGCATCCTTTCGTCGCCTTCTTCCTTTACCGGGCCCCGTGGAACTTGCATGAGTATGTATGTACGCATGCATGGATGTATGCGTGTTTTATGTAGGTATGGAGTTATGGATGTGTGTATGTACGTATCATCAGCTCGATGCGAGTATGTGACGTGTGTAAATATCCGTGTCCATGTGTGCCCGTATGTGTATATATATATATATATATATATATATATACATATATATTATGCATATACATGGTGTGTATATACATGTATATATATATATATATATATACTTACACAAGCATGTGTACACATATGTTTGAGTGTGTGGCAAAACACATGACTTGGACTATGTGGTGTACAATGGAATATCACCGATAGCCATTTGCCGATTTGTCCATCTGTTCACCAACCCAGCTACTGGGAGTGTACCAGGGTTTCCTGGATGACAGGCGCGTTTTGCAACCTCAATTAAAAAAAAAAAGTGCATTTGCCCATCTGCCCATTCAGATAGCTATCCATATTTATCTGTCTATCCCGCTCTCCCTCCTTCTAGACCTGTCTCCTGCTGCTTCTCTCTCTCTACACACACACACACACACACACACCTGTGCATGTCAAGACATGGAATGCCATCGCTGTACACAGGCATTGGCATTGCAAGAGCGAACATCGACCGCATCTTCGAGCCGATCGGCGGCAAAACATGTTCTTCTGGTGGGGTTAACGATGAAGTGCAGGTCTTTGTTTGCCTTGATCTAGGCCGAGTCTCTTCTGACAGCCCGCCGCAGGGTCTGAGCATTGCATCGTTTGCCCCAGAGCACTAAAGAACGGCAACGAGTCAAAGGAGTCTTGAAGCTCGGGTGCTGTTCTCTACAGCTTCAGTCCTTTATGGATGTTTCTGCTCGCTGTGTATGTTTGCTTCGCATCGAGTGGTGCGATTGCCATGTCAATCCCCCTCTGCGGAAGCATTGTCTGGGCTTTCCGCATTCTTAGTGGAGCGGACCGGTTGGCACGGTAGAGACTTGACGATCACACGGGGACGCAAGCCAGGATCAGGACCCAAGGCACAGCCCTCAAGTTCAAACCCCAAGACTCCCAAGACTCGCTCTGAAAGCGGTCTGCTTCCAGGCCTTTCGACCAGGAGGACTGGGCCTTTTCCTCAAGGTAGAGATGTCTGAAGTCTGTCCGAGTTGTGAGCTCCGAAAGGTTAGATCTCTGGGGATCCTTAAGTCCTCGCTGGCATAGAGCATGTCGCAGACAGCCGACTTACGTTGGCATTGTATCTTGTTGTTCGCACGTGGCATCGCCTTCACACGCTGCATGGACGTGCACGTTCGGTGATCTTCTCTGCCTTGTACGTCTACTCTCTCGTCTTCCTCACCAGTAGGAAGAGAGCATATCTCTGAATGTCTGAATGTCATGAATCCCAAACTGCACTCCATTTTCGCAACCCTGCAGAACCTAACTCTCAGGCTTTAGTGTGGCAACACTTCTGGACAGTCAAAGCACTACTGTCATCTAGGCATCCGATGTCCTGAGTGGCTTCAACTTGTGTTCTTTGTCTTTCCAAGAATCGGATGCTCCTTTGTACTTTGAAGTTGCGTACCCCAGATCGCTATGAACGTGTAGCGAACACTTGATAGAATTCGGTCTAGCAAACTCGAGTCCAGTCCTGGGTAGCTTTAACTTGATGTTGCGCTGTTGTTGCATGTTGGATTCGAGTGAGCTGATGGTAGTACCGACGTGCACCGAGAACCTCGTCTGGCAAGTCCGGGTTGCCAGAGCGTAACTGTTTGGGATTTCCTGGTCACATGCAGGACACGTCGGAGAGCCGACAGTACTCTGGGCTTGGGCTTGGCCTGTCCATCAGCCGTGAGGCACGGCGGGGAAGGACTGCCGAAGAGAGAGCTTTTTGAAGAGTTGACATTAACTCAAGTTATTGTCATACGAACTCTTTCTGTTCCGATTAGTTCGATTACGTATAAATAAATACATAAATCTATATACATCGGGAGGACAAAAGTTTTGACCGACTGGATCTGTCTTGTCTTAAGACGTCTTGCGGAGTAGCGGAGTACCGAAAAGTGCGATTTACGTGGCCTGGCCAGCGGAGTATTTTATACCCCGTTTTAAAATTATACTACTTTAATGTTCCGGAGGAGTAGCCGGTTGGTCCTGCTTGTTAGGATTCTATGGGGGGATGGGGGCCTGTGTTCGACGAAACAAGGAGTAGGTCAAACTTTCGTCCCACCGCAGCGTCAATTTTGGGTGCCAGAGTCCAGCCCAAGCAACCCCACAATTAAAGTGTTCGGCTTTGCTTTCACCAAGACTGCGAAGGAGGGGACTCTTGCCTCGAAAATGCAGGCTGCGCCGGGCCGATAGTTCGACCCACTAGCTTCAACATGCTTTACAACACATGGGACTCCACCCTCTTCCCCATAGACTCCTAACACAAGTGAGCCTTGGGGCCTCCGCCGGAACTAAAAAGTATTATATGTTTAAAACGGCGTAGTAATTACTCCGCTGGCCTGCGTAGGGTAAACGGCACTTTGAGGTACGCCGCTACGCCGCAAGAGCTTGTATGTAAGATGATGCACAAGTGGGTCGAAACTATCGGCCCGGCGATGCCTTCTGAATCGTTTCTTAGACGGGGATGTCTGTCTAGGGGACCCTGCAGGAGGTCGGTAGGTCACAAAGCAACAAGTTTGGCGAGGTTTGCTGAACAGAAAGGGCCCGGTGAGGCATCGGGAGGACAAAAGTTTTGACCGACTGGATCTGTCTTGTCTTAAGACGTCTTGCGGAGTAGCGGAGTACCGAAAAGTGCGATTTACGTGGCCTGGCCAGCGGAGTATTTTATACCCCGTTTTAAAATTATACTACTTTAATGTTCCGGAGGAGTAGCCGGTTGGTCCTGCTTGTTAGGATTCTATGGGGGGATGGGGGCCTGTGTTCGACGAAACAAGGAGTAGGTCAAACTTTCGTCCCACCGCAGCGTCAATTTTGGGTGCCAGAGTCCAGCCCAAGCAACCCCACAATTAAAGTGTTCGGCTTTGCTTTCACCAAGACTGCGAAGGAGGGGACTCTTGCCTCGAAAATGCAGGCTGCGCCGGGCCGATAGTTCGACCCACTAGCTTCAACATGCTTTACAACACATGGGACTCCACCCTCTTCCCCATAGACTCCTAACACAAGTGAGCCTTGGGGCCTCCGCCGGAACTAAAAAGTATTATATGTTTAAAACGGCGTAGTAATTACTCCGCTGGCCTGCGTAGGGTAAACGGCACTTTGAGGTACGCCGCTACGCCGCAAGAGCTTGTATGTAAGATGATGCACAAGTGGGTCGAAACTATCGGCCCGGCGATGCCTTCTGAATCGTTTCTTAGACGGGGATGTCTGTCTAGGGGACCCTGCAGGAGGTCGGTAGGTCACAAAGCAACAAGTTTGGCGAGGTTTGCTGAACAGAAAGGGCCCGGTGAGGCATCGGGAGGACAAAAGTTTTGACCGACTGGATCTGTCTTGTCTTAAGACGTCTTGCGGAGTAGCGGAGTACCGAAAAGTGCGATTTACGTGGCCTGGCCAGCGGAGTATTTTATACCCCGTTTTAAAATTATACTACTTTACTGTTCCGGAGGAGTAACCGGTGGGTCCTGTGTGCTAGGAGTCTACGGGGGAATGGGGGCCTGTCTTGGACGAAGGAAGGAATAGGTCAAACTTTCGTCCTACCGCAGCGTAAATTTTGGGTGCCAGAGTCCAGCCCAAGCAAACCCAGGGTGAAAGTGTTCGGCTTTGCTTTCACCAAGACTGCAAAGGAGGGGACTCTTGCCTCGAAAATGGAGGCTGCGCCGGGCCGATAGTTCGACCCACTAGCTTCAACATGCTTTACAACACATGGGCCTCCCCCCTCTTCCCCATAGACTCCTAACACAAGTGAGCCTTGGGGCCTCCGCCGGAACTAAAAAGTATTATATGTTTAAAACGGCGTAGTAATTACTCCGCTGTCCTGCGTAGGGTAAACGGCACTTTGAGGTACGCCGCTACTCCGCAAGAGCTTGTATGTAAGATGATGCACAAGTGGGTCGAAACTATCGGCCCGGCGATGCCTTCTGAATCGTTTCTTAGACGGGGATGTCTGTCTAGGGGACCCTGCAGGAGGTCAGTAGGTCACAAAGCAACAAGTTTGGCGAGGTTTGCTGAACAGAAAGGTCCCGGTGAGGCATCGGGAGGACAAAAGTTTTGACCGACTGGATCTGTCTTGTCTTAAGACGTCTTGCGGAGTAGCGGAGTACCGAAAAGTGCGATTTACGTGACCTGGCCAGCGGAGTATTTTATACCCCGTTTTAAAATTAGACTACTTTAATGTTCCGGAGGAGTAGCCGGTTGGTCCTGCTTGTTAGGATTCTATGGGGGAATGGGGGCCTGTGTTCGACGAAACGAGGAGTAGGTCAAACTTTCGTCCCACCGCAGCGCCAATTTTGGGTGCCAGAGTCCGGCCCAAGCAACCCCACAATTAAAGTGTTCGGCTTTGCTTTCACCAAGACTGCGAAGGAGGGGACTCTT